CGTATTTACTGCAGTGCACATACACTGTAGCATCCTGCTGTATATTGCAGTGGGAATTAAATTGGTCATCAGTTTTTGGAAGGAAGGAAATTCATTGCTCATGAAATTGTACCGAGGACCAGGGAATGAGTTTAAGGCTGGTAAAACGTGAATCATTATAAATTGCTTTTATTGGAGGCATCTGAACACGTTGATTAGATTACTGCATCGAAATTTCTGCACACTCAACAGCGACTATTTGTTAAACATCAGCCTGGCTCAGTTGGTTGTACTAACTCTCACCTCTGAGTCAGAAAGTTGTGTGTTCGAACTCCGCGTTGACACTTTGACCTTAAAATCTAGGCTGACATTTTAATGTAGTGCTGTAGGGGTCTGGATTGGAGGTTCTGTCTTTCGGATGATATGTTAAACCCAAGGAACCAACAGGATTTTTACTGTGAAGTGCAGTGACTTTGTATTTGTAGGTGAATGCAGCAGCCAATTTTGCACACAGCAACGAGCACTAACACCCACGGAGTGAGTGACCAATTTTATTTGGGGGATTGTTGGCCAAGACACCAGGAGAGAGAAACTCCCTTCTCTTTATAATAATCCTTGCATTTGATATAGAGCCGTATCACTTATTCGAGACGTCTCAAAGCGCTTCACAGAATACACTGTCAAGTGAATTGACTGTATATTTTGTGGGCAAAACGCGGCAGCCAATTGCACAGAAGCCAATTGCGCAGAGCAGTGTCCTACAATCAGTCGTGGATTGAGTGATCAAATTATTATTATTTTTTAAGCGATTAATACCCCAAGAAAAGCGATCCATCAATCGACAAGCAACCATGTTCCAACCTACTGCCGCGTAAACAGAGGTGTGTGGAGTAAGGAAACTTGCCCAAAGTTTTGCTCTGCCTGGGAATCAAACCCAGGTTCTCTCGCTTGCCAGGCGAGAGCTTTAACCACTGAGCTACAGGACTCTTTCTAGTGCGAAATGGGATCTTTAACATCCACCTGACCAGACAGGCATGACCTTGGTTTAATGTCTCATCTGAAGGATGCACATCTAAAAATAACTAATAATAATATTTTGTTTGCAGCACACCCTCAGTACTCTTCTGGACTGTCAGCCTAAACTTTGAGTTTCAACTCCCAATATAGGAGAGAAGGGATAGGCTTTAAGGTGGGATTTAACAGTAGATATTAATAGATAACAATAGAGAGGTCGGCGAGGTGGAGGGATCGAGCCAGGGAGTTCCAGAGCTTAGGAGCAATAAAAGGGTTATTAAAACAAATGCAAGCTGCATTTTGATTATCAGTGAAACCCACCTTTCAAAAACTGAGTCACTTTAATTGCACTCCAATACGGCAGCCCATTACAGGAGCCCCCACCCAGTTTTATTGTGGAACTGAGCGTACAGAATGTATGGATACGTAATCCAGTGCAGAGGTCAACTTAGGCGTAGGCTGGTGCTCTTAGCAGAATCACATGTTTATCTTCACGCAAGCTCTGAGGTTGCAATACTTTCCATGACTGTTCAGCACACTTCATTCATTATACTGGTAGATCGAACCCATTCTAATCTAGTGCTCACAATACAGAACACAATAAAGCTATTTTACCACATGTCCCAGTCAGATACAAAGTCCACATCATGACTCAGTATAAACACAGTATTCCCTTCTACTCAAATACTATGTGATAAAAAAAATCTAAAATAGAAGCGTGTTCCCAGTGTGTTGTGTGCTGTGGTGGCCGTTTTGAATTGTTAATTCAGTAAGTAGGAACCTGGTTGTCAAGTCGATCGGCAGATTACTTTCCGTGGGTGATGATCATCTCAACAAAAAATTTGGGCACTCAATCCATGGGTTTGTGGGACGCTGCTGTGCGCAATTGGCTGCTGCGTTTCACCCACAAAATGTACAGTCAATTCACTTTACAGTATACCCTGTGAAGTGCTTTGAGACGTCTGGAAGATGCGATAAGGTGCTATATCAAATGCAAGTATTATTAATATTATTATTAAGTGTTGCTGGACATTGTTACACAGTGTGCTGAGCAAAATTACATCAAGTTGGGGTAAACTGTGAAATCAGAGGAGGCAGCAAAGATCTTACCAAAGAGCTTACACGCAGGCGGATGACTGGCAAAGTTTAATACGGAGAAATGTAAGATATTACGCACAGGAAGTAAGAATAGAAAACACATGTACTCCATGGATGGGATAGGACTTACCAAAGGGGAAGCTGACAAAGACTTAGGGTTTGACTCATCGCTGGCCATATCGAAACAATGTGAGGCAGCAATAAACAAAAGGCAAACAGGATGCTGGGTTAGATTGCTAAATCTGTTGAGCTCGCATCCCCAGATGTTAAACTGAGACAGAATAGATCTCTGGTCAGCCTGCATCTAGTGGAATAATAATAATCCTTGCATTTGATATAGTGCCATAGAAAGTCTTCGAGATGTCTCAAAGCGCTTCACAGAATATGCTGAAAAGTGAATTAACCATATATTTTGTGGGCGAAATGCGGCAGCTGATTGCGCACAGCAGCGTCCCACAAATAGTTGTGGATTGAAGTGACCAAATTATTATTATTATTTTTTATTATAATTTTTTTCTTGAAGAAATTATTGCCCCCGGAAAAGCGATCTGCCAATCGACCGGGTTCCTACTTACTGCTGGGTAAACAGTGGCGTGTGGAGTAAAGCAACTTGCCTAATGTTTCGCCCTGTCCCGGGAATCTTACCCGGATCTGCTGAACTTGCTGGTTCGATATTTGAGCCAGGTAAGTCTGCAGCCCTCCAGGGGCCTGATCGACAGACGAACGGTACTTAATGTCACCGGGTGGAGGCAGACAGAAAAGGATGTGGGCAGGGTTTCCATTCGGGTGGAGGCACCAACAGATCGCAAGGTTCTACTTAGACAAGCAGCAGGAAGCTTAGCGGTGTCTCACACCGCTCAATTTCAGCTGCTTTGACGGCAGGAGTGCTAACCAACGGGCAGATTCGTCAATCCCTGCTATCGTGCTAGAAGTGGGGAGCTAAGGCAGGATGACTTAAGGTCAACTACTTTTCCTGGCACAGAGCTAAACCTGTTCAGAGACGGTGTGGGTCAGCATATGCCATGCACTAAAAATAGCGACCTTTACCCACCGTAAAGATACAAGGAGATTGCTATTTTTAAACTGTCAGCACATGATACCTTGCAACATTTTAAAAGCGTTCAGATAACCAACTCCGCAAAAACAATATAGTGCTCACAGACCGAATGCTGGAAAGCTTTATAGCACTTTAAGCCGTTCAACCTATTTTGCCTTTGATATTGCTGTTCAACACAGTGACTTACCGTGTCGTTGAGACATGATCCCTTTACGAGATGAGACAGAGCTTCATGGGATATACTGCAAAATGTAATGACTGTGGATTTTTTAATTGTAGGCAGTCAATTTTTACAATGCCCATATCTCACAAACAGCCGTGATGTAATGGTGTGAATCAGCAATTTTGACTGGGAGATTGTTGGCCGAGATATCAGAAGAAATTCCCTTCTAAATTCGCTAAAGAATGGGGGAGCAAGGCAGAGGAATTGATACATCAACATTTCTGCTGGAAATAAAAAATGTAATACATTCACACACAATAATTTGAAATGATCACTTTAGTCACTAGTTGGTAAGCCATTTAAGTCAATGCACTGATTGTACCACTTGCATTTGTAAAGCACCTTTGGCCTAAAATATGCCCTTAATTGCCTTACAAACTGAATTAGAAATGAAGCAAATGTTGCTATATAGGTGAACACAGCAGCTAATTTGCTCTGGCAACATCCTACAAACAGCTTTGATATGTATACTATCAAGACCTGTAGCTCAGTGGTTAGAGCGCTCGCCTCACAAGCAAGAGACCTGGGTTCGATTCCCGGGCAGGGCGAAATGTTGGGCAAGATTCCTTACTCCACACGCATCTGTTTACCTTGCAGTAATAGGAACCCAGTTGTTAGTCGATTGGCAGATCACTTTTCCATGGGTAATAATTCCTTCAAAACAAAATAACACATTGGTCACTCAATTTGTGAGACAATACTGTGCGCAATTGGCTGCTGCATTTCGCCCACAAAATACAGAGTCAATTCACTTTACAGTGTATTCCGTGAAGCGCTTTGCGGTGTCTTGAAGACGTGATAAGGCGCTGTATCAAATGCAGGATTATTATTATTATTATTATTACGATATGAGTACGCAATTTGTCATTTGAATTTGCGGGTGAATTTGATCGATGTGGGAATGAAGATGAAGGTAATGAGGTAAAAGACTCGTCCTGCTCTGAAATAGCAGTGGATGCAAAAGGGGATCCCTTAACCTCCACCTGAATCACAAGGCAAACTAAACCTCAATGAATGGCACCATCAAACAGGAAAAGGGTGATGATTTGGAATCTAAATAATAATTTGCATTTAATAATAATAATAATAATCCTTACATTTGATACAGCGCCTTATCACGGCGTTGAGACGTCTCAAAGCAATTCACTGGATTTACTGTAAATTGGATTGACTCGGTATTTTGTAGGCGAAAGGCGGCAGCTAATTACTCACAGCAGCATCCCACAGATATTTGATATGGATTGTCAGTAACAATACTGCAATGAGTGAGCATGAAACACAGAGCTCTCGAAACAATCAAACGTACAGTACAAGCGCCCTCGAGGAAAGCAAGAATATCAGACAGAGCAAAAAAAAATGCAACGTGGGATGCATCTCTGCAGGAATGTATAAAATTATGATGGCTTAAAAAAAACTTTTCACATTAAGCTTTTTGCACAAGAAGTTAAATGCTCAGTCGCGGAGCAGAAAAGAACCTCTTGTTGTAGCTTCCACTGACACCCACAAGAGGTTTTTGTAAGGAGAGAAAATATACTTTGCACGGTAAATCTTTAAAAGGAAGTCAAGACAAGAGATATCCAGGAATTAATATACGCAGCGCAACACAATAGACTCACAGATATTTTTTACCTCTCAGAAATAGGCCATCTTTCTGTCTTTGGTGCTTTCATCCAAATTAGTGCTTTCAATCTCACGCCTTATTCCCATGCTCCCTTCATACACCTATCATATAACCCCTCATATACCTGTCATCGACCTAATCTACATTAGATTATTCCCTAGCAACAAGAAAAGCTGTACTTTTAGTCATCTATACAAACACTTAGTAACAACACTCTTAAACTGTGTGCTAGTTAAGAGAGAATTACATTGATAAGACACGAAACATAAACTGAGAGCGACCCAGGCCCGCAAATTCACTGTTTCAGGGAGAATGAAGCCACACAGCGTATTATAATAATAATAATAATAATCCTTGCATTTGATATAGCGCTTTTCACGTCGGGAGGACGTCCCAAAGCGCTTCACAGAACACACTGTAAAGTGAATTGACTGTATATTTGTGGGCGAACGCGGCAGCCAATTGCGCACAGCAATGTCCCATAAACAGTCGTAGATTGAAAATGACCAATTTATTATTGTTTTGGGTTTTGGAGGGATTATTATTAGGCTCTGTGTGGAGTAAGGAAACTTGCCCAAGGTTTCGCCCTCTGCCTGGAATTGAACTCAGGTCTCTCACTTGCAAAGCGAGTGCTCTAACCACTGAGCTACAGGACTCCACTACAGGACTGTATTATCAAACAATACAGGATTAGCCGAGAGGAGGTTGACTCACGAGGAATCGAGTGCAATGTAACAATTTAAAAATTCAGAAACATCTTAAGTATTAAGGAGTTAACTTTAATATTTATAAACATCTTAAGAAGTCCTGTAGCTCAGTGGTTAGAGCACTCGGCTCGCAAGTGAAACACCTGGGTTCAATTCCAGGCAGAGGGCGAAACCTTGGGCAAGTTTCCTTACTCCACACAGAGCCTAATAATAATTCCTCCAAAATAAAACAATAATAAATTGGTCATTTTCAATCCACGATTGTTTGTGGGACATTGCTGTGCGCAATTGGCTGCCGCGTTTCGCCCACAAATATACAGTCAATTCACTTTACAGTATATTCTGTGATGCACTTTGAGATGTCGAGAAGACGTGAAAATCGCTGTATCAAATGCAAGGATTATTATTATTATTATTCGCACTAAATGAACAGGAGTGGGCAAGCATGTCTGAGAGGAAGTGTCTCGGTTCAGAAAGCAGTACAATAATAATATTAATCCTTACTATTGATATATATATATATCTTAGACCTTATCACGTCTGTGAGACATCTCAAAGCGCTTCACAGAATATACTGTCAAGTGAATTGACTGTATAGTTTGTGGGCGAAATGTAGCAGCCAATTGCACACAGCAGCATCCCCACGTGGATTGACCGACCGACCAATTTATTATTTTTTAAAAACTGTTTTAAAACTCTACCAAGACACTGAATTCTGTCAAAACCCAATCACGATTCCCCAAATGGTTTGGATGAAGAAAGCTCATTTGATCTCAACCCTTCAGAATTTCACCCGTGTTTAACTTTACGTCCGCTGCCTTACAATTTTAGATGGTGCAGAATTTGGGTATGTTTCTGTCTTTATTTTGAAGCTGGTGATCTGCAGGTCTTCTTTTAACAATATAAAAACCTGCTCTCAAATTACGACAATGTGAGAATTTGACAGACTTGTGCACAATCTGAAAAATCTTTCAAGACGATTTTTTTTAGCCTTAAGACTAAATCCATGTTGTATCCTGAGCCTCTGAACTTTAAAACTAGCTGTTTGAAACGTATTGTTCCATGAAAAGGGTAATCCAATTATCTTGCATTTAAAGGCAGACAGACTCAATTTCTTATCTGTGCTTTTATTACCAAGGCTGCTTCGATTGATGAAACCAGTAATGTTACTCATCTTGGAATTGCCTGGAGCCTCTGGTACTCCAATGCTTAACAGTCATACAATTGGGAGGCCCACTTATTTCAAGAAATAGCAAATTTGCGTGGCAGATGCTGAGATCAGCGTTTAGGCTATGATACATAACGAATAAGAGTTTCACAAAAACAAAATAATTTGTTCGCTCAATCCACGACTGTCTGTGCGCAATTGCCAGTGGCGTTTCACCAACGAAATACACAGTCAATCCACTTTACAATATATTCTGTGAAGCTCTTTGAGATGTCCCAATGCCGTGAAAATTATTATTATAAATCTACCATAAGAAGAAAGGTAGTTTCAGACGAGTTAGCAACAGAATACCCACTCACTCTCCTAATCTTACATAGTAGATACCAAGCAGAAAATTATTTTTCTGGAATGTTATGGCAGGATCTCAAGTGTTAAAGCAAAGGACAGATTAGAGAAAGGCTTTGTAATCTCTTGCGACTCTGGGGCAAGTTTACTGGAAGTAATTTGTTGTCTATACAGGAAAATTCCATGTATAAACAGGAGGCAAGTGAACTGTGCTGGCAGTAAAACAATTTTTGCCCACAAAATACACAGTTAATTCACTTTACAGTATATCCTGTGAAGCACTTTGAGACGTCTCGATGACATGATAAGCCGCTATATCAAGTGCAAGGATTATTATTAATTTGATGCACCAAACTTTAAAAGCTTTAAAATCTGATTTCTTCTGAAATCTTATCAATTTAATTTTGTTTTGAAAATCGGAATTACTGTTCTGATTTTCGGCTCAATTACTCAGTAAAACTGTTACAAAATACATGACAATTTCATTTTTCATTCGATCATTTCAAAGAGAAGTTTTATCGTGATAAATATCTTCAAAACTGCCTACTGTAGGTTGGTTGCAGAGTATAAATAAACCCAATCTGTCATTATGTTATCCTTTGGTCATGAAAACTAGTAAACAAAAATTCTGTGTTTACTGTATTATTATTACTATTCAAACAGGACTGTTATTCCCACACGTTTAACCATTTAATGGCTGCAGAAGCATCACTAATTGTTGCCTCTCATGGAAAATCTTGGAAGAACGGAAGGAGTCAGCGTGAAAGGATACAGAATAACTATCGAAATCTTAGGTATTATTAGAATTCTTTCCAAATAAAATGGGTTCTAAAGAAACTGGCTTGAGTTTGCGCAGCTAAAGCAAGGCATAAATAAAACATTGTAACCTGAATTCCCCTCCGCTCTCCTCTCCCAAGATGTGCCTAAATGTTACTGCCAAGACTTCAAAATGCTTCAGTGATGCTTACCCCAACCCCCAAAGGCCGGTTTGTTCACATGTCTGAGAGAACAAAACCCTTTTGAATGTTTGAATGGAGAGAGAGAGAGAGAGAGGGAGGGAGGGAGAGAGAGAGTACGTTAAGAGGGGAGACACTGGATCTTTATTGAAAGGGAAACAAGAGGATCTCGCACAATCCGAACCAAGTGATCTTGCCCATCATTGAAGTGTTAAACCACTTTCATTCACTCACACTCAACTGAGCACCAGCGCATTCCCATTCATACCAGCCTTGGGGGTGCCCTTATATAGAAACAGTAGCTTTGCTAAGCTGCTGGACATGTTGCTTGTACTAACAGAGACACTCAGATCCCTCCTTTCTTGAGCATTTCAAAGGCAAAAAGCAATGAATGCAGCTCTTGTCAACTCTAATACTCCCCCCTCCCCAACCCTCACCTCCCTTCTTTCCTTTTAACCCCCCCCCCCCCCCCCCACACACACACTCACACTCACACTTCTCCCCTCTTTGCATCTTTAGCCAAACGAGAGAGATATGAGAAATCCTCCCCAAAGGCATTCAATTTGAAAATTGCACAGGGAGTCACTGGACAGGAGAGAGATGCGTTTTAAGTTGTAACATCAGGAAGGATCAAAGGATTTTAACAACACAATTAAATGGAGAGACGTGACCACATATATATATATATACACACACACACACACACACTGTATAATCCATTTCAGTGGGGAGAAGGGAAAGGATGCAATTCATAGGCAATGCAATTAATTAACTGGTTTGTCAGCCTCCAAAATAGAAGGTTGAAATTACTCATTTTTTAAAAAAATATAGATATATACGTGTAGACAAAAAAAAAGAGAGGGTGTTATTTAAGCCAAGGGGGACAATACAGGATGGATGAATGGTCGAAACGCTATGAGGATCAGTCATGCAAAAAGGGACACAGATGCCAAGGTCATTCGTATGAGAGAAAGTGCTTCCATATAAACAATGAAGCATCTTGCAAAACCACTTTCTTTTTATATATATATATACATATATAAAAAATATATAAAGCCATGCAATGCAAGGGATCTTGTGTGTGTGTGTGTGGGGGGGGGGGGGGGGGGGGGTAGTGAATGCAAGGTGCATTTACATCAGCAAAGCAAACCCAAGGAGGAGATGGGGGGAGAGATGGAGAGATGGAGGGAGGGAGGGAGTGTGGTGGGGATTGAAATAAGAGAATCAAAACACACACCACAGCTGATGGAAGAAATATCCCGTCTCCAAAAATAAAATGAAAAAAAAAGTGTTCCATTAAAATTGCAGCCTCGCAATCTGTGTACACTTCAGCTCAGGGAATGAATTGGACCAACACAGCACACAGCACAGTCAGGAACCTCTCAAGTCTCACCAGCACTTACCCAGTGGGAGGGGGGACCAGAGGCAAAGGGCAGTGATGTGATGTGAAGAGCGCAGTGCTGTGTGAGGGACACATCAAAGGGTCTGAGGCTGAGGCTGAAGCTGATGCTCTCGTCTCTCTCTCTCTCTCTCTCTCCTGTCGAAGTGTGAGATGTTACTGTGGCCAAGAGGCAGGTTCCTGGGAAACTGACATCCAACAGGCGGGGCCTTCCCTCTGTGACACTACACCACACACCAATGGTGAGCTCAGCGACATCACTGAGACACTGAGTGGGTAGGTTTGACAGGAGAGAAAGGAGCTGAGCATCTGCATTGCCAACTGACTGACTTCCAACCACACACACACACACACTCACTCACTCACTCACACACCACTCACTCACACACTCACTCACTCACACCACTCACTCACTCACACACACACACTCACTCACTCAACTCACTCACTCACTCACTCACACACACACACACTCACTCACTCACTCACACACTCACTCACTCACTCACTCACTCACTCACTCACACACACACACTCACTCACTCACTCACTCACTCACACACTCACTCACTCACTCA